CAGAGGGAACTTATCGATACCAAATATTAATTTGGCCCTCACAGATGTATTAAATGGAATAAAAATACTTAAACCATCACCGATTAAAAAACAACAAACCTGGTTGAGATATATTGAGAACTGACTTCATAATAAAATTGAAATTGTGAAGGGTCTTTATGGACACTCAGTATATATATTTACTATTATGCGTTCTAAAAACTATTCGGATTTAAAGTATGAATTGGAATTATGCGTCAAAATCCTGACGTATTGGATACCTTTCCAGTACAATATCTCTCCTGCACCATATCTCATATGAACACCTACGTGACAATACCTACACCAAAATCGTGACCCTGAACGTGAAATTTGGTTTCTCCTGTATTATGCGAACCAAGATGGCGACACCGGAAAGTAGTATGTGTACCAGGTCAGGGTTAGGCAATAATTTTATTCCAATTTTCCTTATTTTAGTTTTATTCCGAGTTAGGGGGAATATAGCCAAGTGACTCCCGTAGTATTGGTACCTGGAATTATGGCCTAACCCTAACCTGGTACCGGTACACATACTACGTTCCGGCGTCCGCCATCTCGGTTTGCATACTACAGAATCCCCAAAATTTGCAAATCCTCATACATGGTTAAGCCTATCAGGAATATATTTGACTGTTACGTGCTATCTGAAAAAATTATTTGTCCCATTTGTGTTCAACTCAAAGCAGACAGAATATAAGCAGCAAATAACTTAAATCTGGCTATAGCATATATATATAAATTAGAAACACATCGGAATATCCAAGTACCCAATGACCCTCTCGCTCGACTTCGGGTAATTGAGATTAGTCAACGTGCGCTAAACTTTTATAACTCAATTACAATTAATCATAAAAACTTACAGTGAACTTGACACATTTTTTAAACCGTATAATACATATTAATCCAAGCATGTATGATGGATGGATATACAAGTAGTCGAGGACCTCAGATGCAAATGTGTACATAATGGATAATCAGTAATTTTGCGGTGGTGGGGCTAGAAATACCGTAAATTATATAGCTTGGTGGCAAGTAGGCAAGAGTTAAAACTGTATATGTCAGTTATGGGCCACACACATACGTGGTCTGATGTGGGTCAATGGATAAGAATAAATGTGCGAAATAGCTAAATATTTTCTGTTTTACCTATATACGTACTTGGCATTCTAGACAAGTTTTCGGTGGGTAGGGAAAATAGAGGAAGATCCATTTAAATTTGATGGAACGCTTTTCTGCATGGGAAAATAATTCATTGAATTATAGCCCAAAAAGTCTGTTCTCCACGGAGCTGACATGGGCAAGAGCTCCGGCATATTATTCCCATCAAAGGCTTTTTCATATTTAGGCGTTTTCAATATAACAAACAGTTCCTGAATGGGAAAATTCTGAAAAAAAACTGCAATGCTAGAGCGTTTTATGGTCTTTGTCGGATCCGATGAATACCAATGTATCCGTCGTAACATACCAAACATCTGCCTAACGCTTTGCAAGTCATGATATATTTCGTAACTTCCAAGCAGCCCAAGCAACATCCAGGATGTGACAAATGATAGACTACGCAAAACAGGAAGACCGTGTTCCGAGCGATGACACTGGGAGTCTCGTAAAAATATAGTGATAACATCACGAATCAACAATTAGTAATTGGGAAATTGCATTAATTTACAAAAAAAGGACCGGTTCGTCGTTAAAAATTGCAATCAACTTCAAATTGATAACAGGAATTGTCGTATAATTTGATTGATATACCTTTTCTGTGTGAGACTGGCGCTGTTAGCTAATATTATTTGTAAGCAATGTTCTCAATAGTACAGACCGAGCAATAGGGTCACTCACCGCCATATTTGGTAAAACCGGAATTACCCGACGCGCGAAACTGAATATCAAGAGATGTTTACTCGCTTTGACAATCAAAATGTGACACTCATCACATTTTGAGATAACTCGAAACATGCTGTAAAATGTGCATACATAGAATGGATTGGAGAGCGGCAGACAAACCAGCGAAAGTGACACATGGTGGAAATTACCCTGCAACACCGATTTCATTCAATAACCTCTACCGTGCGCTTTTATTCACATATCTTATTTCACGTCTTTCGAAAATCAGACAATGAAAATGCAAAGCCTCTTCCTTCCCCTAGTATCATTTGTCCAGACTTACCAGTTTACTCAGCGATAACCATTATACGATGTCGTTAGACTTCTATATCTATCGAATAGAATTATTGGGGCAAATCCTGTTGTAAGATATGTTTTCAAACTGAATGAATTTTTTTCGCTGTATCTGCGAAAAATAAACCTTTATATATTTGAATGCCGTGGCTTGAGATGTGAAGTAAACGGACGGGGAGGGGTTGAAACAATTGTGAATGAAACGTTGCAAACGCGCCCTATTCTTTTTAGATTCACTCCGGTTAATTTAGCACCGTTTAATTTAAAAGAGTAGCAAAACGAATCAAGCTGATCATAAAACAGAAATGTAGGACCCCTAAAAAGAACGCACGTACGAACAAAGGAAAAACATTTCATTCTATGTTTTAACATAAAGATTTTGAAATTCCGTTACAATTTTATTCTTTCACGTGTTAAATTCAAATATGGAGTCGTCAGGGTTAGTCTAACCCTGTCGTGGGCAAATTACGACCCGCGGGCCAAGTTCGACGGTTGGACAATTCAATCTGGCCCGGCTGACGCTTCCACAGCCAAACTAAAACCAAATTTTGATGTTTTAGTTAAAAATAGCTCAATGAACTTGTTGAGATTGCGATAGATTTAGTTTTGGCACGAGGCTTATAGTATTCCACTTTTGATTTTGTAACGCAGTAAATATTGTCCATAAAATGTAAACTTTACGTAGCACTTACATGGCCCGCCAGTCTACGTGAGCAAAATATTTGGCCCCTGGTCCAAAAACCTTGCCCACCCCTGCTAACCAGTAAATGGGAATATGAACATTTTTACAACATCATAGCTTTGCTCAAATACGACATCGAAATACCTACAAACGAAAAATGGTTATCGCGATAAATTAAATTTTTACATTTTCAATGTTTAAATTGAAAAAAAAACGCAATAATATGTCTTGTCATATAACGGAAAATTTTTCCAGAAAAAAAAAACTATTTTTGACTAAATAAACCACTAACGTACGAAATTAAATCGATGAAACAGGAAAAATTTGTACAATTACGCGATAAAGAATTGTCAGTATTTGTTTGTATAATTCAATTCTCCACAACTAGCAAAAATAATGTTTAGTTAAAAGTCTGCTGGTGAACAATGCTAGTGGTGTTATTATTAACAACCCTCCATAAACGATCAATTCTGGCCCACAGTTATTGGTCGCTGGAAATTGCAATAAATCGAATTACTTAGTCGCTAGAAAGTAAATGTCGTATTCCGTGGGCACTACCTCATCCGGCGCGACACTCCTTTACATATATCATTATAAATGGTTTATTTATTTATAATTTCTACGAATACAACTGACAGAACTAGTGAGTAAGGATTTGCTATCTGACAAGCCTAAACAGTAGATGGACAAATCGTAAACTTGAGTACCAATTCATTTTCATGCTAATAATGCCTGAACATGACGGTTTCTACAGCCAAACCGGATAAAACTGGTATGGACTGGATTGTAAATTGTTCCATTGTATCGAAAAAAGTGAACGAATGATATTTAAATCGCATTTGTCAAATAAAATCGCTTAGAAATGCATTGCATACAAGATTGTCGGCTGTCACCTATGTAATTGTACTATTTCAGAGGTGGGCAAATTACGGCCCGCGGGCCGGACCCGGCCCACCGAGGAGATTCATCCGGCCCACTTGTGTATGCTGAAATTACGACGATATAATATCGATGAAAATAACGTCATAATGACCCTGATTGTTACATTGCGCTTCTTATTATTATATAAACGTTTTTTTATATATATGGACTAGCTGTTGTAAATAAACTTTTTTTTATACATAGTATTTCATATCGAGTTTTGAGTCTCCGGCCCAGTAACCACGTCTATTATCTGTGACTCGCACACTTAGAAAAATAATTGCCCACACCTGTACTATTGTATACCAATCGATTCAAATTTTCGTTATACATTGATTCCAGGCATAAGTCACATTACACACGCGGTGAAAAACAACGTTTTTAGACCAAATAACATCGCCGGTTCAATGAATGTTACTAACCTTACGCACTAAACAACTCTTATTTTTTAATCATGGAAATATATTTCGGCCCCATAAAACGTACTTATGGACACGGACAAAAATAAATTCCGTTAGGAGAGGGTTAGTATCGCATGCAGAGCTCATAAAACTAATAACGAGTTTTTAAAAGAAATGCAAAGTCATGCTATTCTGTGTAAAAATATAGGAGAAAATGGTGCTGGAGAATCATTGTTATGACTGGAATTATAATTACATATACCGTACTTGAAAAAAGGCGTTGTATGGGATGGTCATGTGCGACAGATGCCATGATAGATATAATTTTTCCTCAAGATGGGTTTTCAGTTTCTGATCGAAATTTTTGTCGTATGCTACAAACTATTATCACCACGATTTGGAACTGGGTAGAAATTCCTTGTCGTTATTGGGGAGAGAGGGATTTTGTTTTGCATTTGCTGTAGTATTATCGATATTCATAAGTTTTTTGATATAATATATTTTGCTGTGGTATTACTAATATATAAGTTTTTTTATATTATTATTAATTCCTCTTTATGCACGGGCTATAATTACTTAAAACTGTACAAAAGCGAGATGGCGACTTGGGCCTAATATTAGCAAACGATTCATTAGAGATTGCATAAATGAAGTCCTTCTTATTCATAGTGAGGGAGAGTTCCAAAATAGGCGCAGGAAGAATTTAGAGGAAAAGGTTGGATACCATCATAGCACTGTTCTACTGTCTAAAATTATGGATTTTATCAAACGTCCTACTGTAAAAATTCGTGTAAAGTACAAACCTTCCAGTTGCGACTTCGTACTCTTTAGAAACGGACCATCTCACTGCCAGAATTGGGTGCCGATGACCTGAAATTAACACGGATCACACAAATGTAAAAGGATGTTGCCAGAAAGGAGACTTGTTCAATATTCTTATCACAAAGGATGAGAGTTTCATTCCACAAGAGAGATGTTTTTACCAAGATTTCGCCAAAGAATGGTATAAAATCGCCACAGGAAACTAAGGTCATGTAACATTCAGAGATGAACTTTTTTACCTTCCGTTAATATGAAATAGGTCTGGGTTTCAAAGATGTAGGCCTACATATTTTAGTTTAGATTTTAGATGTGTCCAATTTTAGGTTTGTCTATATACATGGCCTTGTTTGGTACGAATGGCTCGAATAAGCTTATAAACATATACCATTGGACAACATGTCGGTTTTCCTCTTCATAAATTGAGTATTAAAAATCTTACCGACGCGGGAAATAGCAATTGTTGTACGTACCCGCAAGTGACAAGTCCGCATTTAATCGCCCACATAACAAGCTCGTAAAACCGACGCCAACTATCCCCAAGTAAAAATATCAAAATATATGTTATACTATTAAGAGTTGTAAATGATTGATACAACAATGAATTAAAATCCGCAAAAATGATCAGAAAGTTTTTGAGTCCCTTCTCTTTGCTATATTCACTGAAAATGGGATCATTGGAAGAAATTTGTGCAGCTAAAATGACTGATGAATGATGATTCAAAAATTACCAGATTGCTTCAACTAAAACGACAATGAGCAACCTCTTAACGCCAATGTAAGAATGTACTAGTATAGCGAGATAGACAAGAAACTTACGGAGCAAAACTGGGTAACAATACTCTAATATTAACTGAAATTTATTGATAATTTTCAACTTTCTCCAATTCCGGTCCTTACATTATTCGGTACTCCTGTAGTGTGTGTACCAGGCTAGGGTTAGGCCATACGTTTATTCCAATTTTCCTTATTTTAGTTCTATTACGGGTTCGGGGACTGTCTGTGTAAGCCAAGTTGATATAACCCCAAGCCCATAGGCTTCCGTCTCTTTACACAACTTGATGTAAACTAGGCGAACATAATTAGTTACTCCATATTGGTACACACATTTCTGGAGCGCTTCAAACTGGCGATATTTCTAACCTGTATTCCGACGCAAGTTAGGGTTAATATATATTATGAAAGAACCCATGTCATAAATCGGACATTGACTGTTTGCCTACTTTTTCAAATTTGCTTTAACCGACATGTTAGGTATGTTGACATAGGGTTCGTACAACGCGTTATTGCTCGCTAGCTATTCAATTCAAGTAGACTCGATAAAACATCGTCGTATGAGCTTTAACTGGTTTGCTTGGATTTCAAACTATCATTCATCAAAATCAACCAATCAGAAACAATTAATTGGGTGTTGAGTGAATTTTTTGAAATAACGATTACGTTATGCTTTTAATTGAATCCTAATTGAGGTTTGAAGGAATTCGTTTATCAAGTAATTTATGAATATTTTGCTGTGATAGATATCGACCACAAAGGTCGATTTTACATCAAGAAGAATATTTAACTACACACAACCATATTTCGCAATCACACACTGTTTTATACTTAACCAAATTTGTCCGAATTGTAATCAAAAGAATATGGCTTACTGTTAAGGAGAATCAACGGTCGCATCTAGGGTCGCGAACAACGCAGAAAATTTGATCATTTCGAAAAAACAGCACCTTATACAGGACCGTGTGCGGGGTGAATATTTGAAAACGTTTAAAAAAACGCCATTTCTACACGCGATGTCCATTTTATATTTTTCATATCACTTTTCAAGCACAAACATACAACAATGTCGACAAAGAACAAGCAAAACGATGCGTTCCATTAACAAGTCCCGGCACGAAATGCACATACTGAAGGCGGCAGGGTAGATCGTAAATTTATACAAATATAATGAAGGTTAGACACACGAAGAGAACGCCATTTTACGACTTAACAGTAGATAACTCCGAAAGCGTACATCATTAACACACACATGGCCATAGATGTTTCTCGACACAATAGTAGTGGTTTGATTATAATAGTTTTTTTGAAAACATTTAACGACTAAACGAAACCGCCAAAACGCGCCAAAATGCGAGAATGATGGTCAGAAAGCTCCCCAAACTGGGGGTCGCAGCAAAGAATTTTAGGAGTCGCAATAGTACATCAATTTCAACAAAGTACTATACCCATTATACTTTATTAGACGTTTGATTCGAAACACAATTATTAAATCTAATGCAAAACATAAATATCACGATTTCGAGAGAATATATAGAATCATAGAAGCGGCGCGCTTGCATACCAATGCCGACATGGGTCGCCGAAAATTTTAATATTTTCGAAGTGGTCGCGAGCTTTGGTAAGCCCTGGTATAGCATATCAAATTTATACCAAGGAAAAGGAGCAGTTAGCTAGCATATAGTCCGGCTATACTTGACTTCATATGTCTTACTCTTGACTAGCATATATTTTACATACGAAATAATTCATATCAGAACTATTTTTACCGAAGATCCGCATACAAAACTTCAAAAATATTTGGATCCGGTCTTTCCAGAAAATATATTTCGGCATCCTTAAACGTACACTTCCTCGGCCGCCTAATGATTATTAGCTAATCAAGAATATTTATTATGGCATTATAGTTCTTTTCATATATATTTAAATCTATGAAAGGTGATATTATAAAAGGAAAACTTCAAAAGTGGGGCTCATGATCCAAAATAAAGAATTAGTCGCGTTCCGATTCAAATACGCGGTCCGCCAGTTGAGTAGGCCTGCTTTATAATTTTATATAATAGTTTTTCCAGGGCTGTGGATTCGGAGCATGTTTCTTATATCGGAGACAATGCCCCACTATCTGGGGTCAGCGCCAATCGAACTGAAAAAAGATAGAACTCGTCAAGTTGAATGGGCATTTTTAACAGACAATCAAACAAGGCTTCACACGCATTGACGCATATCTGCATTTTAAAATCTGCCTTCTGGGCGTCCTGAACTATAGGAAAATATTCCTTCCAAAAGCCTAGCTCTTTATCGCCACTTAGTGTAATAGTAATATCTTCAGCCAATTATTACCTTACCAGGTATATTTTCCAAATGCATGGACTCGGTAAGGGGCGATATCACGTACTCAAAATCAAACTTATACCTCTCAATATATGGCTGTTTGATCCCGTTCTCATATCGGCCAGATAAACAGAAGAATCAGATGTACCAACTGAAAATAAAAGTTATTTAATTAAGTAGACAATGTCGAGAAAAAACACATTCAAGTCCCTGTTATTAATATCAGAATTTTATCTATCTTTTTCATTTCAAATAGCTATTCCACTCACAGTTCACTAATCAGGGTGTGACATGAATAGTAGTAAACATTCTTATCTGGTTCAATTATGATAAATCAAATAAAGCCCACATGTGGACAGGGTAATAGAAACTGTTTGGAAGATAACACAATTAACAGATAGTAGACAATTCAGTGAAATAAACAGCGCTCCAGAAGTATGTGTACCTATATGGAAGTAACTCCTTTTGTTTGCCAACATCAAGTTGTGTAAAGGAACTGAAACCTGTCGGCCGGGGGTATATTCACTTGGCTAACACAGACGGTCCCCGAACCCGTAAATTCATAATATAACTAAAATAAGGAATAAGGTGTTCGAATCAATATACACTAACCACATGAAACAAACCAACCTGGGTCTCAACACACAAAATGCATTTTTTAAATGGCTAACCTACCTGCTATCATGTTGTGTGATGAAGCCAATGGTGACATTGCATGAGTGTTGACAATAAACTTGTATTTAAAGGTCTCAGCTGGCTGAAATGTAAATAAGAGAGTTTGATAATATATTAACACTGAGAGCACATAGTCTGATAAAAATAGGGCGTATATAAAATACAAGAAGCAAAAGGAGAAAAAAGTCAATACAGGCTAAATAAACTGTCTCACAACAGATGAGAATTTCTCCCCAAGAAATTTTATTGATAAATAACTACCGTAGTTGAATATTCGAATAATAAAACTATATACATGAGCTACACGGGTAACGCCGGCTTATCAACTTCTTTTAAACAGGAATAACTTTTTTATACACTGATTTTATACGTCTTTCACCCAAGCATCTTCTTCTTGATAAGGAGCTGGGAATGAGATACGAATGAGATACGGCATGGAATACGAACAGGGGCGTGCCTGGAGGGTGGCCATAGGGGCAGCCGTCCGAGCAGCTTGCTATAGAAGTGAGTTTGTTGCTTAGTCTAATGATTCAAATAATATTAATAAATAAATATTTCACTTTTACTTGACCTTTAATTTATTCATCTCATGTATAACAACATCTATAATTTGTTCATTCCCCAAATAATTTTTGAAGTTAAGTAAAAGGGGAATCATTATCAGAAACTCGCCGGGGCAGCAGCAGAAAGGTTTGACACGCAACTGGATATGAATCAGAGATTTTTAACCGACATAAGCCAACATAGTCAAGTGTGATGCTCCAACCACCAGTGTAAGTTATCCAAAATAAAATGACGCTATGGGAGGGGTAATGAGTTTTAAACAAGAAGAATATTGTGGATGAAAAAATTTAAATCCTTCTTACCCGAAGAGCATTAGCATCCCATATTTTTACAGATTGGTCAGTTGAACTGGTTGTGAATATAGCATTATCATGTTGATACCACTGGACACATGAGATACTGTATTGATGAGCAAATCGACTGTGCTGTGGCCTGAAAAAAAAAGACATGTCATTGAGACTAGAATTTTTGGTACAATGTTTTAAACGTCTTTCATTCCAAACAAGTCTCTGTACTGGCAGCCAGAATTACCAGGTTTTGAAACACTTTGAATACAGATTAGTAAATTAGGATAATAGTTTCCAAAAATTACATGTTGTTCAAAATATGCGAGTCCTGCTGCAAAGGCACAGAGGATAGGAAGTTAGTCACACAACCAAACTCATAATGTATGCAAAATGTTGTTTTAAATTTAAAAACACAAGTACCTTCCTATTACAGCAATTTGTTGAATGGTATAAGACTTCTTTCCAGTGGAATTCCATGTATCATAAATCACAATTAACTTGTCTGAAGATCCACAAAGCAGACTAAAATACAAATAGAATGACAATTCTAAAAGAGGTCGGATCCCTATCTAATCCCAAAATCTTGGAATGGGTGAAGTCAGTTCCTGATTGACAATGCAACGCTAGGCACATAAAAGATCAGCCATTCTGCAATTTTATACAAAAGTAAAATTCATAAACAAAAGTGAAATGAATGAATAGAAATCATATTCCATCTTGTGTTAACCAAATTCATTCTCACATTCAAAGTTCAATAAAACATATATGGACAATATTTAATTCAGTATCAACACATTCTATTTTTAGTTATTGCAGCAAAATGCTAGAATTTTTTTAAATTTTTTGATACAGCATTAATCTAACTAGTTCGAGCCTGTGAAAATGGTGGCCTAAGTTTGGGACGTTGAAAACCAATCAGAAAATTACAGAAGAAAAATCTTAAATGCAAGAAGCATAGGAACTCACTATCTGTTTTCTACTGGATCAAGATGAAGAGAATTTATTCCACCTGTTTGTACATTCTGTATCTGACAATCGTCTGACAATTGGAAGCTGAAAAAAATAGAAAATAAATCAGATACAAATCAAACATGATATAGAGAAGTTTGATGTTGGAATTGTTTCTTAAAGAATAGGGGACACATTATTCCTGTACTAAACACCTTGTATATTGAAGGTTGGAATCATGAATGATTGCCAAAATAATAACAATTAAAATATGGTCCCGGGCTACAATATTGTGAATTTTACTTCAATACGATACTCTAAAAACAGATATTCGATATTGTACTGGCACTTTCATATCGGAATAAGATTATTTTGGTCAGTCACCTATGACCTATTGCATTGGTGATTCCTATTAGAAGACTTGAAATGGTGCTTGTGCAGACCTGATATACAGATATAGGATAGGATTTTCATATTCAAATAAATTAAGTTCAGCAGATACGGTAACTATCTGATTATGCTAACCCCTGTAACCTGAAAAGCGAATCAATAGCAACAGACTGACAGAAAGAAGTCCTGAAGTTGAAACGAGAATATCGGTCAGAGACCGAAGACTTATCGATCGAAAGTTAGGGGATCCCGCAAAACAGCGCTCTTACTCCATAGTGACACCTTGTGTCCCATCACTAATTAATTAATAACTCGCTAATTATACGAAATAATTCATCCAAAATCAATAGGCTTCTGGTCCGAGATAAGATGAATGCACATGCAAAATCTGGAGCAGATTTAATCTCGCTTTCGTGAGATATCGCGCGCATCTAACAGACAGACAAATACCTATCAACATACTTGCGGATTAAAATCGATAAGTAATAATAACAGCATTGGGAGGCCAATACAAACAGACAAATGCACAAACTTACTCGAACACCCGTTGACTTTCTTCTGCCTTTTGGAAGGAACAAGAAGTACAGTCGCCGATTTCTCTTGCCCACAAAAGTGAGATCCTTGACATCCCGTCATAGACGATGAAGATAAGTGGTAGGCCTAATACTTAACAAAATCAGGGAAATTAATGGCGATCAACCATAACCAGACGCCAGCGAACTCACAAGACCAAAGTCGCTGTCGAAAATGCAAGAACAACATGTTTACCATGGGCAAACAGGAGGCGGGGCTACGCAGTGAAGCGAGAAGAATAGGATTTTCAAATTTATTCCGGGCATGGATGTTTCCCCGAGCATCGATTTCCTTAGCAAAAAACAATCAGCAATAAGTCAAAAATGACGTAACAATTTCAATTTGTTGAGCCGAACAAAACAGCTGTTTTGACGATTATATTCTTTGCAAAACAGAATTTATTGTGATACACGTGCAGACTAAATGATATTATATTCTAACAAGTATAAAATTCACAATCACTTGTTTATAATTATTAGACAAATGGCAACAAAACGCAGACAAGTTTATGCTAAGTGAAAATGGTTCAATGGCGCCGAAAATATTTAAAGGAAATATTTTGAGATGCAACGCAATGAGGAAATAAATCTATATTCTAATCAAGAGATGTATCACTGCTTGGTTTTTATTATAAAAAGTATCATCCTTTCGATTTTCCACTTTCTAAAAATATGTGCGTCCGCCAATGACTTGCAACTCCTAATTTTGGCTCGCGATCGACAAAAGGTAGCCGACCCCTGGATTAGACAGATATTTTTAAGCGGGGTTGTAAACATTACCACAATTTCATGGTTTTGCGTGTTATATGTCAGTTTTATCTTCATTTATATATATGATATGTGGGGTAAATTCTGGTGAACCTTCAACTACCATAATTGGAACGAAAGAAGTCGTTAGAAGTATATTACATTTAATTTATCTGCCTACATTTTGTTATCATTTCGTGTAAGTTGTCCACAGATCCTTTCGGCAATAATGTTTTTTCCTAAAGCATTGCTCGATTCTGAATCGTGTGTTTTGTATGCTTGTATTATTATTTATTTTTTTGGTGGGCGGGCGCGTACTTTAACGTTTTTCAACTTCATTTCAAGTTATGCTCGCCTTCCAGGTACTTCTGCATTTTGTTTGTTTGGCTACTTTTTGTGATGTTTGGTTTTTATATCAGAGTACCGAAATAAATGATTGATTGAGTGAGGGTCTATATATAGAACGGCGTCATATGGCGAACCATTGCATCTCGTCAGGTTCGCAGGTTTGAATACACGCGGTGATGTACAAGAGAATTTGCTGGACGTTTTGCCGTAGGGTGGTTCACGGCCCAATGTTCCCGAAAACAATAAATAACTGGTTAACAGTCTAATTCCATACCCGACAAAGACTGGTAATCGGACCACAGACCGTGGTTCGCCCTATGATTATGCCCTCTTATCATATTTTTTCTCCTCTAGGAAAAATATGTAAATCCTATTCTAATATTACAAGATGAGCTGAAACAATAGCTTTACTAACACAACTGGCGGACTGGATTTACCACATGGTATTTAGACATCTAAAAAACAAAGCAATAAAAAAAGAATCCGTGTGGGCTGACATCTGGACTCCAACTCCGACCAATAACATTTTTACTTTAATGCAAAATCAAAAAATAGAGATGGAAATTCACGTTTCTAAAAGTTTCTAATGAGTCCAGCAGTTAGGATAGGAGATTAACCATAATTGTACTGAGCATTTTTTGTAACGGTTCAGGCTCTTCCAAATTTCAATCTTTTATTCATATATTGTTCCGAATTGTTACTATACCACCGGTATCAAAGTTAGTTAGACATTAATCCTGGTGCAGTGGTGCCTGGGTACGGTACCGTACCGTATCGTCGTAAGTCGGGGTCTGATATAGCTTAGTACCACGAGTACTTCCAGTGGGCGTAGCATAACGAATTTTGCTGCTATGGAATGCCAAAAATTAGTCACTACGACGTCATCACCATCACGTCATAGACTACTGTTATATGGCTCACCAAAGTATGATTACGAAGGCCTGAAATGTCATTTGCGCGCTGATACCGGTAACGAACTTGCTAAAGCCATGCCCATCCGCATGCTTTGGTGGGCATTACTACGCCACTGTGACGTTGAAATGGCATATTTTTTCGGTGACGTAGTCAGGTGGGGGTTATGATTGATATATGCAAAAATTGTTGAGCCAGGCCAACTAGAGGTGCATGTGGTACCGGTACTAAACTATACCAGACCCCATCTTTGTCACATATTTTTTATTCCCATTGCTGTTATACACTTATAGCTTATTAAATTATGTAGAGCCTAGAATTAAACAATTGCAACATGTCAGAAATTGACGATGATGACTTTGAATGGGATCCGGAGGTTCAAGAAATGTACGATGATCTATCATGGGATACTCCTGAAGTTGACCCAAACCTAAAACTAGATACTGATGTACATTTGCTTCGAGATGGAGCATTATGCTACCCAACAATTATGTACGATCTATTTTATGACAAGCATTCTAATTCTGCACCTGTTATCCCTGTTTCAATGCCACAACCTAAAGTTCCTTATGGTCGAAAATCATCTTTAACTAAAAGCGAAATGAAAATGCTTTTAAACTATAGTTCAAGCTATAAAAATAAAAGTATATCTGAAATTCATCCTACCCATTATAAAAGATACAGAGAATATAAAGTTTTGCAGAATAAAGTTGCAAAAGAACAAGAAGAATTTCAACAATATTTATTGGAAGTTTCAACAAGGTTTATTACTGAATATAATTATGTGGACGAGGAAGCAGAATCGTGGGTAAAAAAGTGTTTGGAAGAATCTAGAAGTCAAATTAAACATTATGAACGATATTATGAGCATTTAAAAGAGTTTGGTATAAGCGTTATACCATTTAAAAATGACACACCCCCAGCTCCTATTGATTCTTTATTCATTTCTTTAGGATACTGGGATAGATTAGTTGTATTAACAAGGAATACCCCAATTCCTAAACCTATTATAAAAAATGTTAAAAGCAAGAAAAAGTCAAAACATGATGCTTGGGTAAAAACAGTTGTCAGTAAAGATGAAAATGCTCGTCGTCTTGCAATAGCTTGGAAAGCAGATGTTGTTATTTCTTTGGGCGCTTTGAAAACTTTAGCAGATAATCTTCCACCTTATCAAAATGAATGGGAATTGCCAGTCGTGGTTAAGTTATTTGAAGGATTTGAAAAACAGAAAATTACTTTTGTTGACAAAGTTTTCCCACCAAAACGAATAGCTCCAAGAGAAAAGAATTTGAAGTTTTTTCAAGAAGTTATTAAACATTTGTCTTTAGTTCCCAATGTTTGGAACAAATCTACTAACGCAACTAAAAAAGCGAAAAAGAAAAATGTACATAGCGACACTAGTGAAACAAGTGTTAACATTACTACAAATCACAACAAAGAATCTGCGGACAATAAGACTTCTGAAAATGAAGAATCTTTATTGCAAGTCGATGGAGCAAATGATAATAAAAAACCAACACGTAAACAAACCAGAAGAGGCACGAAGTCAAAGGTCACTGAGATGCAAGGTGATTCAAAAGACACTGTGAATGATAAAAACACGAGAAACAAAAATCCTAACCAATCGAAACTTTCGCAATTTTTGACGACTTCATCCACATCCAATTGGATGAAAAAACCTGACCTATCACTTCCTCACGCAAACAATGCAAATTTTCAACCATTTATTGGCAGAAGAGGAAGATCAGTCTCTACGCAAAGTGCCGAATCACAGGAAGACAAAAGTACTGCGGAAGAAAGTAGGAAAAAGGTTGCTGAAAATGAAATGATCTCACCGAAAGCGCAATTTTCTGGAATGTCCTTTGGATTATTGCCAGATTCAGCATTGGAATTTAGTCAAGAATCTGACATCAATGACGCAGAAAATAATTCAATTGAAAAAACCTCCAAGGATCGTATCGACCAATCACCAACCACCCGACGCGCAACTCGAAGTACCATTAAATCGGAATATCTGATGGAAACTGACCACTCTGGTGGTGCTTTGTCACAAACAATTATATCCTCATTTGGAAAAATGAGTAAAAGTGTTGCAGAAACAAAGAAAAAGGCATCTGAAATGGCAACTTCTACACCAACCAGAAGAAACAAAAAAAACACCAAAGCTGCAACGAAGCAGACCAGTCAGGAAAAAGATTCTGACGATGACGAACTGATTTTAGCTAAGAAACGGAATAAAACAAGAAACATATTTTTACAGGATGACAGTGAATCAAATGATGAAATCACACATGCTGCTGAAAAAGAAACCCCAAAGAAAGCTAAACCAAAAACTAAAGCGGCTAGTAAAACTAGTAAAAAGGAAACCAAAACACCAAAAAAGAAACAGAGTGCTTCAAGATCTACGTCTAATGCTATTTCTAATTCATCTGATATTGTTGAAACTACCACAACCGATGTACCATCTGTGAACAAGCCATTGAAATTATCACCTGATTCGGCCACAAATATTTCCAGAATGCAAAATAGTTCAAATGACCTGTTGGGTGAAATTTTAGGTAAAAGTGATACTGCTTCATCAAAACAAACACCAGAAGAAATGTCATCATCAAAGGCAGCACACCCTGAAGAATTAATTTCTGATGATGTTGTAGACTTTGCCACTGGTAGTCTTATGCTTATTCAGCCTGAGGACCAAACCAATGCTTCTTATGCGTTATGGAAGTTTGGGAAAAAACGTGTTTTGATACGTTACACAATTCACGGTGATGTCATTCCACCTAAATCACCAAAAGTTCAAAAAAATGTTTTAACTGGAGTTTCATTAAGAGCGAAGTTGGAATATCAATCGGATTATGTTTATGAACAGTTAACACAAAGTGAAATGACTCATGATTGGATAACGTTTCTTATTAAACGGAAAATGTGTATTGTCAGAGCCAGACTCAATCCTCATAAAAGAGAAATACTGGACGTTGAGTGGACATCGAGTCTCAATGAGTTCATGGAAAAAGCTGTTGCGATGGGATATAATACTGCAGTAACGTCAAAACTCTTGACAAAATTATTTGAAATGTTATCGGACCTAGATGTTGGTTCATATCTATGCTGTCATCGAGTGGATGAAAATAAAGTTGTTTTACGCAAAGCAGTTGATGACATCCGCAGAAAAGTTGTGTACGATTTACAAAAAGAATATGCGTGGCCTGGTCGCAATGTCTATTATTCTACATCGGTACCTTGGGTTCCAGGCGATCCAAATAAACCTCGTAAATTTCATTTGTGTAATGATCGAATTCCAATGACCTTTCCCCCTATGGCTGATACAAAAGATTCGAAAAAGTCAAAAAAGAAGAATAAAAAGTCTAGAAAATCGACTAGTTCCAAGGAAGATGATGATTGGTCATGGTATGTCGTTTATAGTGTTTTCAGGAAACTTTGTTATATTATTTCAAATCCCAATTTCAGCTATATTCCCCATTTTGCACTACTACTCCTTCCCCTGGAACTATCAACTAGTTAACTTTTTCTAGTAACTGGACAAGGAGTCGTTGTTTGATAAAAATACTATCTTGTCCAAGTCTATGAGTGGAATTTGACTGCAGTTGCAACCATGTTAGAAATGGTATTTTATCATTTTCAATTTTATAAAAAGTATAATTAATGTTTTATTTAGCTTACAATGCAAGCAAAGTCCATGCATTTGAAACAAAATAACTGGTAGACTTTTCCCATACCCGACTCGGGCTGGACAATGAGCTATTGCACTATCTTGGAGGTAGAGTGTTGCGGTTAGGGCAGGGATATTCAAAAAATTCAAATCTACTTAGTATTAGTCATATTCTTGATTTTAGAAATAATTTAGAATAGTCTCATGTGAAAAATATCAATCTGAACAATTCAAGTATCACAGACATTCACAATTATACTAAAAGTGTTTCCATTTATTTCTGGAAACTATAGGAATAGCCGCTTTTCTTCTGCCGTGTTCACCACCTCACCTCAAGGTTGTGGGCAACAGTGTCCATATCTCTGATTAGTTGAGGCTTGGGCAAGAAATATATTATTGTTAGTATTCTTCCGTCCAACCTGATTATCTCACTCATCATTTAGTATTTTCTCAAAGAAAGAGGAGCGATGAAATGGGGCATATGGCTTTATTGTTGTTATGAAATGAACAGCTATCGGCACCAATGACATAAAGGCTTTTTTTTGCAGAATTATCAACTCAGGAATATATGACGAAGAGGAAGTCATGTGATCATGATCAAACCAGTCCTGGAGCGGCTGAGAAGTGACAAGAATCTTGAATGATACCAGTGTTTTGGTGTCGGAATTTTACGAAATGCTTATTCAACTTGGGGTTTACCAATAGGGGGTAAACTTTCAACTCGTATTGGTAGTGAATTTTGCATGAAAGTACACAATCAAATATGGACATTGACTATGCAGGAAATTGCATCATTGTTGTGGTGAAAATTTGTAACGTTCTTTGTTGCACGATAGATATACATATTCGCTGGAGGTGTACATATTGCCTATCACAGCTTTTTTTTTTCAAATTTCACTGCCAGCGCTTGTGATAGACAGTATAAGGGAGGAATTTTACTTTTGAACAATAGGCGTAAAACCGGGTTTCTCTAATGATTTCACTATTTTTTAAAATTTGAAAAAAAGAATATCTTGTCGTCGTTGTTCGAGAGATAGACAGTATCCATACAAAATAAATACTATTTTGTTCACTCCTGGGAGTTCAGAATGGCTCAAAACCGCCTAAAAGTATTTCACTTCATAAGTATGAGTTCATTTTGACTCCGTGATCAGCATTACAGGCAAAAATGATTGATAAAAACAAATAAATAGGAACTGATTATGAAATCAAGAGAGCAAACAAAAACATTGGACAAGAGTAAAAAACGTACATAATATAAGATGGGAAGTTCTGCCGAGAAGAAGTGGCACGTTTTCTTCACCTGGTAAGCGAGACTGTGCGGCACACACGACTGACTGATTTGGCAAATTTAACGAAACTATGAACGAAGGCGTAATTTTGCGCAGCGGTCGATCGCGACTCGCACACTGTACGGATCTATTAAGTTAAATATCGTGTCACGTCCATTCTGTTTCAACATTTTGTATTAACAGCGAGTAAGGTAGAAAAAGCTGCCTCACATTCGTAGGTTGTTGCAAATGGAATGAGCATTTTTAGTGCCATCCTAGCGACATCGGGGGATAGGACGATGCCACTGTGGTTTTTTATTTCCTCCAGAACTATCACAGCAAAACCAAATCTAACATATGAATCGGCATATCTAAATTTATTTATTATTCCCATAGGGATGGGGGTCTGGGGGGCATTTTTAAATAACCCTGAGAAAATTTACAATCAGACGAACACGCCGTCTTCCATAAGCAATGGACCTTTCCCCGACCTTTGACCCTCGGAAAATTCTCCCTATACTTCACCATTGCAAAATTGTCAGGGCTATTTTAAGAGTGCTTTTGCGAGTTGGCGCCTGTAAAATGGGGTATGTGTTTCAAACCATCATTATGTTTCATCGCATACAACAATCTGTTTTTTAAAAGTACCGGTAAAGAATTTCAGGCTAGTCCATCACAGCTATTTCTACACTAACTTTTATTACTGCAATTAAATTAAAACTCCTAGAAAGACAGAGTGATCATTGAATTATCTGATTTTTATTCAAGTTCCCAAAACACAACTGAAAACTAACGAATAGAGTTCAAAAACGAGGTAATGTTTACAATCACGCTTGAAAACCTGTCTGAGTGAGAAAAGTGTCTGAGCGGATGGAAAAAGGGGACATTGTTACGTCACTTTTTGCATCTTGCTGATTGGCCAATGTCACGAAGTAAACAAGGAAGTCGATGCTCGGGGAAAGGTCCATGCACTCTGATTTACTGTACTTGCCACGTTAACCAACGTTTGTTACGTAATAATGTCTTCGGCAGAGCGTGTCGTGCTTTTTAATAAACACTGTAAGAGCATGACGTCAAAATTTTACTTCAAATCAAACGTCTTCTGTGCCGAGGATCCTCGAGGTTAAAGTTGTCTCGCGTTCCCCCTAAATGGCTTCGCGGACCCCAGTTTGAGAATCAATGTGTTAAATGATCGGTAATGTAACTGTATTGCACTGAGCATTGATGACTTAACAAGATTGATGACTTGTTAAGGCAGCGTTTCCCGACCTTTTTTGGTCGCGGACTATTTTCTCACCAGCGAAAACCTTTACGGACTCAAGGTGCGTTTATTGCAACCGTACTCTGTGTGAAGAAGCAATAAAACCAAACACAACAGAAATTTAACGAATTTTAAAATCGGAAATTCGCCGCAATTACGCGTTTGTTAAAAGAGTCGACTTTTTCGGTGTATAATGGACTTTTCTGTCGCACAATATTCAATCCATGACAACGACGAGAATTTAAAATGTATTTCTATTTTAATTTAATTGTGTTCATGGTAACTCGTGGTTGCGTCGACTTACGACAAGATGAAAGCATTAGGCTACTTCTTTAAAATTCCACGGCCATTTGCGAACATAAAAATGAGAGAATATATTGCCCGACTAAATTCAGCTTTGATACATATTTTTTGCGAATTTGTTATAGCCGCTAGAAAAAATCCTACTATCTAGAATGTACAACTTAATTTAGTATAAATTAAAAATATATTTAAAGTATAATAGTAAATAAAAAATACGGTTCCATTACATTTGAACCCATGACAATTGCATCTGTATGCTATTGCACCTATGGAATTTTTTTTGTTTCACGGATAGTTAAACCCATACTAACCCTAACCCATGGGTTTTAGCACCCGCATATAGATTGAACCCGTGGATATACGCATGGGTTCAAATGTACATGGGTTCAAATGTACGGTCACCAAAAAAAAAACATATTCATCGCCTTAAAATTCTCGCGTACATCTTCTGAAGTAATCATCGCGTATACGTCACTCGTTAAAAGAGCCGACTTTTCAATGAATTTTTCTGTTGCCTAAAATATTCAATCCATCCATATGTGTGATCCTTTTAATCTGCGGATGTGTTAACTAAATCAGAGCAATACTACTCAGAAAATACCATGACAATTCCTGGCACATGAATGCGTGGTAAAGTGCCCGATTATGTTCTGATTCGTATTTTTGTGAATTTGACAAATCTGAGCTGTTCCTGTTCGTACAACGCTTACTACGCTCCATTACTACTGTACGTACCAATGTGGAGGCAGTAAAGCAAAGAACCTTTAAGGAAATGCCCTGGTACGTATACCACGGTAGCACTCGAGATGTTGCAGTTTACAATGTCTAAAAAAGCGTCTTTAATCAGTCGCGGACCGCTTTTCAATCTAGAAAATTACCAGCCCTACTCAGTAACCGGTAATTATTGACTCGATTAATGTTATGTGAAAAAACTAGCTTTTTATGTTTTATGTAAATTCTAACGTAAATCGTAAATTAAGTTTCGCAAAAACGTTTGCGGCCCGCAGTGAATTTCTGGCTCGTTGCGGACTCATTCAAACGCTCTGCGGACTCATTTGAGACCACGGACTTGGGTTGGGAATCACTGTGTTAAGGTATCAATGCTCTGAGTATATGTAAGCCATGGCCGGGGGGAGATATCGGCCCGGGGTCGCAATATAAAGAGGGCTATGACACTAACACAAGTTGTGTAAAACACATTACAGTAATGAGTTCGATATTACCAATTCCAATCAAAATTTATTTCAAAATTGCGAATCTCTTGTAAATTTCATGCTCAATTATGTGGATGAAGACTACGAAACCTGGATCATATTGACAGCTTCAGTTTCTCATTTACGGAACAGATTGAAAACTTCACAAATAATTTTTTTCGATCGAAAGCGTGTTTCGTGACGAGTTATTTTCTCGTTATAAATTATCTTATGCAGGGTGGTCGAAAAGGCTTTCTTAAGTTTAACTCCAGCTGATTCTTTTGTCCACTCCACTACTAGTGACCGCCATGATTATCTGCAGTTTTTTGTACAAGTTTTCCGGGCAATCACTTATTTTCGTAACAAATGTAAAAATCGATGGTCGAAGCAGATAGAAGGCTATTATTTTTTAAATTTACTTCGAGTAATAATACGAGTAATATGAAACTTTTAATTGTATTCAAAGCTTTGTTTTTTTTATTTTAATGCAAGGAAACACTTCTTTCAATGTATGATTGTATGGGAACACAATATTCCGTCACTTTTGTCCGCTAATCTTTTCGGCGCTCTGCTGAGGCCATGCTTGTACCCTTGCGCGACTTCGTTCCCATATCGTCACGCTAATAACCGAATTGCGTAAGTCATTTTTGGCGATTTTGAGTTTTTTTTTATAAAATAGGTATTTATGTAATGCTGCGCACCTGTCTGTTAACTCAGATTTTATTTTGAGAATTCCGAAAGTCATTAAAATGGAGATTTAGAATGACATGTACATTTGTGCAATTGTTTCGTCATAATGAATCATCATTGTTACCGCTGGACTATTGTGACGTCACAAAGGCAAAATAACCTCGTCGAAGTATTTTCGAGTTTTTGCATCTCGGATTCTAGCTTAGCGTGTATTAATTTGAATTTATACTTCAGTATAGGAAGGCGTGCACTTGTGATATTTACTGTCCGAGTCCAATTCACCTTGGTTGGCTTTTATATTGGGTGCATTGCTGTTTTATTCTTTATATTTAATCTCAGTCTTATTTCGGTGGGTGTGCAGAACGTGTTATATTGATGAAATATATATTTTTAAACATAAAGGATAATGTAATTGAAACAGATTAACTATTTTGGAGATTAGACATTGTAGATACTGAGAATTACATTCGTTTTTGGAATGTTTAGTTTTCAGGACTGGTGCATAATCATATAGTAAAGTTGCAAAATTGCGTATGTCCCGCGTATGTTGCGTATGTATTGCGTAAGTCATAGACACATTTCGGCCTAAGTCACTGTGCGCCATTATGACGTCACTTAACTGCGTCATACAAATTAACTTAAATCCGGCTACGATCAAAAAATTGAACCATGACAAATTATTGACTCTCAATGGCATAACAATATCATTAGGAAGTTTTTTACGTTTTTCTCAAAACTGCTAAAAATGACTTACGCAATTCGGTTATTAGCGTGACGATATATTTTAACATTGCCATCTTGTTTATTACACATGAAACAGAATGAACAGCAAAGTTGCCAAATACTTTAATCCAATCGAAACTACCCCGCGTTAAAGCCTTAAGCGCGCGGTTTGTTTATCATCCTGTTATTTATTCATTGCATCAAATCGGTAAGATAAAATATGTTGTATCTGGTTTGTGTCACTTATTGTTTGTAATGTGCGGAAATATAGATCCTTATTGACGTATACACGGATTGACCAATGTTTTTGATAACGCACGATGACAAAAAGTATCCAGATTTTTTAAGAAAATATTTTGACTCTTACAGATTACTGTTTTTAAACTACAAAGCCACTAAGTTCATCGCTTTCAAACAAATATGTTTTGGGGAGAGTATTCCAACGTTCATGTTTGATATACTTGCCCTATTTTTCCATATTTTGATATCTCTTGCTAATCGGTCGTAAACAATTTCCTACAACACGTCATCGGAGTTTAAATGAAGACTTATCTTGATATCTTCCAGA